TTCTGAGGCCTCCCCAGTCATGAGGAATTGTGAGTCAATTAAACCTTTTTCCTTTATAAATTATGAAGTCCCTGGCAGTTCTTTATAGTAGCGTGAAAACTGACTAATACAATGGTCTATATATTTTTCTATCTTCTGAACTATTTTAGAATAACTAGTAGACATTATGATGATTTAAATCTAATTAACTTAGCGTACACTTACTTTAAACAAGGGCATTACCTGATATTACTGAAATTTATTAACAGAAAATTTAACCTTGATACAATGCTATTATATAATTCAAATTTTCAGTTTAAATTTTTAATTGGCTCTCATAAACATTTGTTTCTACTCCCAAATACGATCCAGGGTAATATCACATTTAAGATACATGTCTCTTTTGTCTATTTTCACCTGTATCATCAGATTTTTATGGTCTTTTATGGTATTAACATTTTTTAAAAGTACAGTTAGATTTTAGAAGGCACCTCAATTTGTTGTTTTCTTCTGTTTCACCATAATTAGATTCAGATTATGCATCTCAGAAGAAACACTACAGAAGTAACGTTGTATCTTCCTCCATACATCAAATCAGGAGATAATTTTGGCTTGAACCAACATTGATAATGTTAACTTTAATCACTTACATATGATAGTGTCTGCCAGGCTTCTGTACTGTAAAATGTCTGTTTCCTCTTTGTAATTAATAAATAATTTGTGGGGAGGCTTTCAGACTATGACAATATCTACTTTCTCATCATATTTTCACCCATTAGTATTGCATCTGTTGCTAATTCTTGCCAGAATCAATTTCTATAATGATAATAAAAGGTGATTTTCTAACTCCATAATTCTACTTAAGTTTATTAATTCTCATGTTACTCAAACGTAAAGCTTTGTTCATGCTCCTATTTATTTATGTATTCATTTCTGTACTTACATCAGTATTAACTAATGGATTATTGTTTTATTCAGTGGGTAATAACCTGTTGCTATCATTATTTAATTGTTCAAATTGATCTACATTTGGCTAGTGAGAGACTGTATCAGTTCATTTTGTACTTTCATCATTTAATTGTTCAAATTGATCTCCATTTGGCTAGTGAGAGACTGTATCAGTTCATTTTGTATTTTCTGTAACAGAATACCTGAAACTGCACAATTTATACAGAAAGTGAATTTGTTTCTCAGTTACGGATGCTGAGAAGTCCAAAGTCGAGGGGCTACACCTGGTGACAGCCTTCTTGCTGATAGGGACTCTCTGAAGAGTCCTGCAACAGCACGAGGCCTCACACGGTGGGACGGCTGAGCAGGCTACTGTGTCCAGGTCCCTCTTTCTCTTCTGACAAAGCCTCCCATTCTCCTCCCACGATATCCGTTAATCCATTAACCCCAAAATTCCTTAATAATCCATGGATGGATTAATCCAATCAGCCTTTAAAAGTCCACATTTCAAACTGCCACATTGAGGATTGTATTTCCAACATATGAAATTTGGGGACACATTCAAAGCATATAGAGTCCATTCAAACTAATTACCGTGTTCTTAGACAGGTTTCCAGCACTTTCGCTTTCTGGCATCGTTGTTGGCACATCACATCAGGCTCATCTTATCTTTCTCCTTCTTTAGTGCTGGAAACAGTCATTGCTCCAAGAAGCCCTCATTGCCTTAAGAGAACATTAGGCATGTTCATGACTATTGGTATGGCCCTGCTTTGAAGCTCTTGGAGTGGACACAGCTAGAAAATTACTCACACAGACACACACACACACACACATTGGTATTAGACAGATGCAGATATAGATTACATATAGCTAAATACGTACTATGAGTTCCAAAGCTCATCCTGGTAACTCGCACGGCAATCCAACGGCACAGGATTCATTTTAGCCTTTCCTGTGTAAATCTTCCTCAGCAGGGACAGCCTGGCTTCCATTATTCTCGATATATTTTACTTATGTACTCAATTACATAATACATAGAAAATACTGTGAGCATTACTAACCATTCCCACTGCACGCTTTTTAAAAGCCTGCATAATTTACTAAGATTAGTTCTGTTTTCTCATTATCAGTGTGGTGATGCTTCATTGAAAACAAAGCTATTCTGTTTGTAAATAATTTTATTTTTAAAACACACAGTTTTTGGTTTCATTTATTGAACAGTGAAAATATTAACATACCACCAAAAGTCAAAACTTCATAAAGGGATATACTTAGTGAATTATCACTATCCCAGTCTGTCTATCCTATTCCCATCCATATCCTATAGTTAATCATTATTATATATTTTCTTATATTCAGAAGTCATTTTCATATATGTTGGTAAATGTTCTCCTTATATTTTTTGTCTCTTTTTTTGTTTTGGGATTTTTTTCCTTCAAATTTTAAGAGTACCTAATGTATTAGGAGTATTAGCCTTTTATCTGTAGTGATATATTTTCTCCTGCTTGGTCTTTTTTACCCTTTGGCTTTTGCTTATAACACTTTTTTGCCATGCAAAATTTATTGTTATTATTATTATCATTATTAATATTATATTAGAGGATTAGAATATCAACTATTACCCTTAATGTATTTTAAATCATACATAGAAAAACTTTCCAACACATGGGTTTATACAGCAATTTATTTTTCTTCTATTATTTACATGGTATAATTCTTTACATTTAGATCTCTAATTATTTTGAAGTTTGTTCTCAGGGATTGGATGTGTATCTAATTTCGTATTGTTCCAAATTGCTATTTGGTTCTTTAAACACCATTTATTAAAATATTTATTTTGCCCTAGTTATTAAAATGGCACTTTTATTATATGCTGAATTCCCATATGTGTGTTACTCGATTTGTGGGTTTTGTATTCTATTCCACTGGTCTATGAGTCCATACTTGTTAGAAAAACATATTGTTGTTGTTATTGCTTTTTTTTGAGACACAGTCTTGCTTTGTTGCCCAGGCTGGAGTGCAGTGGTATGATCTCAGCTCACTGCAACCTCTGCCTCCTGGTTCAAGCAATTCTTGTGTGCTTCAGCCACCCAAGCAGCTGGGATTACAATCCTGCACTACCACACCCCACTAATTTTTGTATTTTTAGTAGTGACGGAGTTTCACCATGTTGGCCAGGCTGGTCTTGAACTCCTTACCTAAAGTGATCCACCCACCTCAGCCTCCCAAAATGCTGGGATTACATGCGTCAGGCACTGTGCCTGGCCATGGCAGAGTGGCAGAGGAGACAAGAGATGAAGCAGCTGGATGTCAGAGAGAAGCAGCTTGATTTCAGAGAGATGACTTGATGGCGGAACTTTGGAGAAGAGTTCAGCTGGGAATGGCCAAACTCCAGGGGAATACCACCTTCCCACTCCATCCCTTTTCCAGCTGCCATCCTACTGACAGCCACTCCCACCACTCAACAAAATCCTCCACATTCACCAACCTTTAATTTGTTTGCGTGATGTGATTCTTCCTGGACGCCTCATGAGTTGCTATGAGACTCTAGACAAGGACTGGGATGCAGGTCCAAGAGGCTGTCACACTGACCCTCCACTGAGCTGTTTAACACTTTTTTTTTTTTTTTTTTGAGATGGAATCTCACTCTGTCACCCAGGCTGGAGGGCAGTGGTGCAATCTCGGCTCACTGCAAGCTCCACCTCCCAGGTTCACGCCATTCTCCTGCCTCATGAGCTGTTTAACACTTAAGCCATCCACGCCCTCTGGTACTCTATGGGTCGTGGGCAACCCCTAGATGCTGCCATGGGTCCACACAGAGTACTACACCTGCCAGTTGCCCAGATGTGCTCATCCTGGCCTCTGCACCCAGTCACCTATATGCTGTCCCTTCTGTAAGGGATTGAAAGCTGCAAGCTGAGTAAATGAGCCAACCCTTTTGCAAGTCCCACAAAGGGATCAGGAAACTATCTTGTTTCAATATCAACAAAATTCTTGCCAAGACCAATGTCATGAAGCTTTTCATATATGTTTTCTTCTAAGAGTTTTACAGGTTCAGGTTTTACATTTAAGTATTTAATACATTTATTATATTTTTTGTATAAGATTGGGTCTAACCAATTTTTTGCATGTGCATATCCAGTTTTCCCCACACTCTTTGTTGAAATGACAGTCCTTTCTCTGTGGTGTATTGTTGGTATTCTTGGTGAAGATCAGTTGACTATAAATGTGTGGATTTACTTCTGAGCTCTCTATTATATTTCATTGGTCTATTTGTCAGTCTTTATGCTATTACCATGCTGTTTTAATATTAGTACCTTTGTAATATATATTTAAATCATGAAGTGTGATGTCTCTAGCTTTGTACATCTTTTTCAAGATTGCTTTGGAGACTGATTTGCTATTGAAACCTCCTATTGAATTTTTCAGTTTAGTCATTTTATTCTTTGCCTCCAAGATTACTGTGTAGTTCATTTATTTTTTTATTTTTTAATTCTCTCTCTCTTGAAATTCTCCTTTTGTTTGTGCATTGCTCTCCTGTACTCATTAAGCATTTTTATGACAGTTATTTTGAATTCCTTCTTTGGAAATTTATATATGTCATTTCATTAGGATTCAATCTGGAGTTCTATCTTGTTTCTTTGCTTGGATTGTGCTTTCCAGTTTGTTCATTTTCCTTGACCCATTGTGTCAGTATTCACTCATTAAAAACAACTCTCCTTTTTCCAGATTGATCTTATACAGAAGAAAATCTTCACCAATCAACCTGTCTTGAGGTTCTATGGGCCTCTTAAACTTTTACGTTATTTAAAACTGTCATCTTTATTCTTAGCAGTCTGATGCACCTAGAGTACGCAAAATCTCATAAGTGCTGAGATACAGGTGGGACAGAAACCAAACCCTCAGTTAGCTCCTGATGAAGTTGAAATTTTGGGTGCATGAGCCAACTCTTTCCCTTCTCAGATAGAAGCTGGGAGTTAGGATTTATTGCTCATTCACTCTGTGATGGTCTAGGGAGAGGAGATGTGGTAATGCCCACACACTAGCTCTACCTACCACTTTGCTCCCTACAGGCCCTAGGGAACTTGAAGATCCTAGGCCACATCAGCTCTCGAAGACAGGTGAGATGGAAACCAGTCCCTTGTGCAGGACCCGGACAAATTGGGGCATTAGATGTTCAGTCCAACTTCTTTCCTCCTCAGAGAGAAGCTGTGAGCTGGGTGTTTCCTCCTGATCGTATGGCACTGTGCTTGTGGTGGAAATTAGCAAGAGAATGCCTCAACATTTTCTACTGATGTTGCTGGTTTCATATTTTTCTGGAGTGCAGGAGCCTCTAAACTAGTTTCTGGTTTTCTTACAAAGGGAATCCATTCATATTTTGGTGTCAAAATGGTGGAAAGGCAAATCCAGGGTTTTCTATTGTGTCATCATGGTACAATGTTACTAGAAAGTATCTATTTAAATGATCATACACACTTTTTTCTGTCTTATTATTTGCTTTCAATTTGAGTGAATATGAGATTTATTATTTAACGTTTTCTTGCCTTTGGTTTATATTTTGTTTTTCTTCTTTAGGAAGCTGATACAAACCAAACCATATGGCATCACAACCAGCTGTTGAACCTAGTACCATCCTTTTAATCACTCAGAGTTAATTATAATATTATTACACTTAGGTATTAAGAATATTAATGCCTGTCATATAATCATTCAGACATTTATTTGTATATGGTAGCTGTTATATCTTTACAATAGTACGAACGTTTCTTCTCTGCTGTAGGGAAATTACTGCAGACACAGAACTAACAATTATTTTAAAGAGCTGTACCATCTAGGAAACTCAGATAAAGTAGGATAGAATTTTCTAGTTGAATTTGTAAATGCTTTTCAAAAATGATATATTGTCCATCCCTTCTCTCATTTTTTTCTTTTCTATTTTCTTACAATCCACGTTTACTATTTTTAAGTTAGTTTAATAAACTGTCCTGCCCTATTAAGTTGCTATGAGACTCTAGTAAGCATGTATTGGCAAATAGGAAGAGTTAACCAAGCAAAAAATAAATTTTTATAATAATGTCAAATATACTATGCAAGACTTATTTCAGTTGTCATGTAAATTTATAAAAATAGCACTTTCCATGGCAAAGAAAACCAGACGATGCTAACACCAGCATATTTCAAAGCAAATGATTGTTATATTGTACCTTTAAAGCAATTATCACACTTCATAACTAGACACATTAAACATATGGGGTTAATGAATAAGATTCTTAGAAATAAGACCCATATCTTGTTCTTTTCAAAATGTGTTCGATTTGTGTTTTGTTCTCCACTTTCTCTAGCACAGTATGCAATACACAGAAGCAAGAAATAAAAACTTCTCAATTGCTTGTGTCAAATTTTTCAACAATGGTAATTTTTTATTTGTATAGACTTGAAGCTATTTTATTTGATTCCTGGCAGCTTAAGATACTATAAAAATCATGGTGATAAAATAGTTGTATGTCTCAAACTGTATGCTGAGGAACACTGCCATCCCGAAGTATATTATTGAATAGTTTTATGTGAAAACGGAAATTTGTATTAAATAAACTTACATATTAGTGTAATGAAGACTCTGAGAAGGCTTGCAAAAAGGAAACCACCATATTTAACACCAACTTCCTAAACCTTTTTCAAAAAAAACAATTTCTCCTAAACTGGCTGGTTTCAGAGTAGGAGTATAGGAGATGAAACGTCGTATTAGTTCAAACCTTGAAAATGATGTATAAATCATTTTCTAGCCAGGCGGGTGGCTCACCGTGTTATCCCAGCACTTTGAGAGGGCGGGACGGGCAGATCACAAGGTCAGGAGATCAAGGACATCCCGTGGTACCCGGTGAAACCCCGTCTCTACTAAAAATACAAAAAATGGCCGGGCGCGGGTGGCGGCGCCCTGTGGTCCCAGCTCCGGGAGCTGAGGCAGGAGAATGGCCTGGGACCGGGGGGGCGGAGCTTGCAGGGAGCCCCAAAAGCTGATTGGCGCGCAATCCAGCCTGGGCCACAGAGCGGGATCTTGTCTCAAAAATTAAAGGAATATAAACATAAAAAAAATTTTTTAAGGAAAGTAAACTGAACCCTTAATTGCAATGTTAAGGAGGCTTCTCTATCTTAATAACTAGCCATAGTAACCCCAGACCAACTGTTACTTTGGAAAATTCCCAGAATAATAATCGCTAGAGCCACATATAACAAAATTCTTTCAAAAAATATTTAACCTGTAAGGAATCACTGGAATAAAAAGGAAGCTTTTTAAAACAATCTTCTGATTCTGGTAAGTATGTATATTACTTGAAAGTTTGCACCATGACAGCTGATCATACAACCTGCAATTACCATGTGGCCATAACATTGGTTGAATTTTAAAAGAGAGAATATAAAAGTGGAGAGGATAAGCGCATGGATAAATAAACACTGAGGAATAATAAATAATAGGTAACAGAACAGTGGCCATAAAGAAATTAATAAATAGTTGATGAGGTAACTGCTAAAATGGAATTCGACTTTTAAAACAAAAAGGGAGAAGCAAGAGAGAGAATGTGAACAGCCTAAAAAGGAAACAGCCTAATGGCAATAAAGGTTCTATGAGTCTAAAAATGTATGTAAGGAAAAACAAGACATTCCTTATATATTTATGAAACCCTAAAAATTATAAGTGAATATTCACACAGCATATTGATAAGCAAGTATCTGATAAACGTTACATCAGAGATAGAAATTCTAATGTATATTTTATGAACTCAAATATATATACTCTTTACTATATTCCATGGGTCAGCTATTCACAACAAAGGTAAATTTCTCAAATATTGATCCTTAATGATAAAACAAAGCAAACTGAATCAATAATCATTTCAGATTATTCAGCAAATTACATTTTTCTCTTTGGGTAGGTGACTTTTCTTTCCCAATGATGCTAAGCTTTGCCACGTGACCTCTGGTGCTCAGCAAGATACTGGCAGAAACAATGGTTTACAGCCAAGTCTTCGAAGGTGTCATGTATTCCTACTTGTCCATGTGCAATCTGGTGGTCACCATGAGAGGAACATGCTCAGGGAACAACTGGCCCAAGAAGAATGAAGTAATGTGAAGTAGACCTGACCCAGCAAGAAGCCTCCAGCCAAGCCCCGCTAACCTACAGTCTGAATCAAAGTTGTGAGCAAGAAAAATAACGTCTAATTGTTATAATCCACTAAGTTTTAAGGGGACTAATTATGCAGCATTGTTGTGACAATATTTTACTATTAATACTCTTCGATGTTTTATACTTATATGACACTATGCAGTGATGTCAAAGAGAGAGGAGTAAACAAGTTCTTGTATACTGTAAATTAAATTATTCTTAAGAACAGTTTATGCAACAAAAATCATGAAGATGTTAAGATGCTTTCTTCCTGAAATTCCTCTTCTAAATATTTTCTAAAGATAATATGATAAAGACAAATATATGATTACAATAATAGATACTGAAACTTTTCGTCATAAACAAACACAAATTTTTAACCAAATTGGCTGTAAAAATTGTTGTGTATTCATTCAATGGAATACCACACAGCCATTGAGAGGAAGTTATAGAAGCATATTTCCAAATGGGGAAATACAATTAGATATGTTTAATTTTAAAATCATGGTATAACATTGCATGTTTAGCATAAAAATGATAAAGAGAAGGAAGGAGGATTCAAAAATTGTTATTGCAAATATTAAAAGGAGTCATCCTCGTTTTCCAAAATATTTGTATTTGAAAAAATACATTCAGCTTAAAATTTTACAATTTGTTGGCAATTACAACGTAAAAGTAAGTAACTGTAATATGTTTTTGGTGGATAATTTAGATAATTAATGTTTCATTTATGTAAAAAGAAGTTGATTCTTGTTAATATTCTTACACTTAAACCATTTTGTGGTGATGACTGAAATAGATTTCAATGTCCCCAAATACTTGACTATCACTCATTAAAGAGTATAATTTTAAAAGCCTTTAAATCTAAATTTTATGTTTATTCATGCATTCATGCTGGCTATTCCATCATATTTTCAGTCTAAGGTTATTTAGATTTTTTTTTTGTCTGTGCTTTTAGAAAACAGGCATTTAATACTTCTAAGTATAAATAACAGAGTTTTAGATACTTATTTTAAGTGGAAGGTTTCTCAAAATGAATCAGAACAGAAACTTTTAATCAAATTTAGCATGTTAATGTTTTCACTTTAAAGCTATGCTTCAAAATGATTTCTAAATTTTCTTAGTTTATTCAAGTCACACCTATTGTGGTGTGAATTTAATATGTTTATACATGGTTTACAATTCCATTCAACCCTAGGATACAATTTCAATAAAGCACCATTCATATAAGACAGTCTCTATTTTCATCTTTTAATTTTTCATGGAATGTTATTTCATAATGGATGTAGCATAAATGAATTTGTAAAATAGGCAAGCACGGCACGTTAATGTTTGATGGTATTCAATAATATACTGGACAGCAACATGCTGACTTCTGACTCCACTCACTATTCTATTAAAATGATTACTCCAAAATCAACCAATCCTATTTCCCAGTCTCCTGTACCTCTGGAAGTACTTAATACTACTGTTCTCCTTCTCCAAAGAACAGTGTTTCCTCTTTCATATTTTGAGATATTGAAACCACGTCACGTTGGCCCCTTTGTGTGTCTCTGAAAGCTCTCTCTGTGGTTGTCTCCTGGGACTGCTTTTACCCTGTGTTTTGAAGGAGGGAGATTTCACTCTTCTGTAACGTTCTTTGGCATTTTATAAATTTGCCTTTCCATTCAGTAAGTAGTTGTTGATTCACTACCCGAAAATCAGATGTAAATGTATTGCCATTAACTATAGCCACTCTGTTGTACAATAGATCTCTTGAATCTATGCCTATCTAACTGTAATTATGTATCCTTTGATAAGTTCCATATATTGTGTTCTTGAAAAATGAAAAAGAATGGATGTTGAGTGCTCTCACACAAAAATAACTGTCTAAAGTGATGCACTTGTTAATTAGCTAGTGTTAACGATTCCACAATGCATATGTACCTTGAAACATCATGCTGTACATGATAAATGCATAAAATGTTATTTAAGTTAAAAATACATAAATAAAATGAACAGATTATTATATTCTGGAAATATGATTTGATAGTGTTTTTAATCTCCCTAGTTCTTCCACAAGAAAAGCAGAGTAAACAGGATAACTGAAAGAGATAATAAAATAAATCATAGATAATATCTCCAACAACACTAGTGATAAAGGATTCCAAAAATTCCCAGGTCCAGCTATGTCTTTTGAGACCAGAATGTGTCCGTAGCAGTTGGAAATGTGATCAAAATGAACAGAGTGAAGCAGTGAGACCGTAATAAGAGATAAGGTCTGTAAGTTACAGGACATGGGAAGGGCTAGTAATGTAGGAACTAGCAGCACATAGTAAAGATTTTCACTTTTAACATAGGAGATGAGATGCAATTGAAGAGCTTTGCTGAGGAAAGTGATATCAAATCAGAGAGGGGAGGGGAAAGAGGAGAAACAGAGGCTAGAAACCAGTGAGGAGACTTAAAAATTTTAACTCTATAGATAATTACAAAAGTCTCTGGCCTAATTATAGTGTGGCCAGAAAGTTTGTAGGCAAATGTAGCTGATAAATGGTATTTCTTGGTATTACTTTACAATACACGTTCTATCCAATATGTTGTTATACATAATAAACCTACACTCTTAACATAGCCCGCAAGAAATACTCATGTTGATTTAATCCATAAATAATAAAAAGTATTATTACCATACAAATTTGCTATCGTTCCTGATTTTTGGCCACATCAGTATAATATCCTCTAATTGTACCCTGTTTTTTTGTGTGTTTTGTTTGTTTTATCATTAAAACTAAATGAAATACAAAATATCATTAAAACTAAATGAAATACAAAAGCAGAAAAACCTACTTTGAAGCTGAAAACTAATTGAAAAAAATATATATATACACACACACATATATATAGAGAGAGAGAGAGACTGGTAGTTATTAGCATTATTTTCACTAAGAATTTTTCAAAAGAATATAAAACAAAATTTTGGCCATATATTTGTAGAAAGCTACATCATTAAGAACATATCCTGAAGGTATAAAGATATTTAATTCCAATTGGTAACTGTATTATTAGAGTAATTTTAGTATCAATCTTATTACCAGTGTACTATGTTATTGTTATTTTGAAACTATTACATATAGAAGCAAAAATGTACACATTTTTTTAGCATCATTAAGGACCAAAATCTTCCTTGTAAGACAAGGATACTGAAATATCAAGTAAAAGAAGTTATGCAAGAAATCTTGTAGTATTTAATTTGATTTGCACTTTTTCTGAAAAATAAAAATTTCCCATTTGTGTACTGGTAAGGCCTAGAAAAAATGAAAATGCTTAATGATAATGAAAATGTTTATCATCCCAACTGTGTTCTTTAACAAAATTTCTACCAAAATAAACCAATGTTCCATGAAAAAAAAAAAAAAAACAAAAACAAAAATGAATCTCTAGGTTTAATGTCTCACTCTTCTAATTCATACTCTATATAGTAGTCAGGTAAATTATGATCATGGTAGTTAAGTATTTAAAAACTTTGATGGATTTGTGATATGCAAGAGTCATGGACAGGATCCTTATTTGAAAATCAAGACCTTAAAGAATGTAGATAAATCTCCTTTTTCAGCACCCTTGTCCACTTCTACCCTATATAGAAGCCATGCTAACGCAAAATGGACAGCTCCTTCCTGAACGTGACCTACATTTGTTTCACCCTGATGCTATTATTTCCCTGTGGGATTCTCTTAAATGCTGCTATTTCCACTCTCTGAAATTTAACTCCACCTTCAAAGTATATAACAAATGACTAATTTTTACTATTTTTCCTAGGTCTACCAATCTGTGGTTTCTATTAGAGTTACTTGAATATATATTCAATTCTTCCTACTATAGCAAGTACTTTTTTAGTTAAAGCAAAGGGGTATATTTATAGTTACTTTCATCTAAAGACCAGTTCTATTGTGAATATCATTGAAATCACTATTTCCCTGACAATTCACAGTGTAAGCGTAAAAACAGTAAAATAACTGTGAAATTTAAAAATTAAACTTATAAATAATGAAAGAACAATTCTAATGAGATATGTCAATAATCTCAATGAATTTTGATGATAAAAGTGAGAAAATAAAGAACAATAACTGTATTTATAAAGTTTGTTTAAAATTATGATTTGTGTTTTTTCAAGATAGCTGACTAGAGTTGTCAAATGCCAGTTCTCAGAAAGAACATCAGAGTTACAGGTGAATGGTCATGGTCTGAGTGGAAAGCTGAGGGAAGGGTGCCAAAAAGACTCAAAGAAGCCAGAGAAGGAAGCTGCACTACAAAAGGAAGACAGCAAGAGCCTGGCAGAGAATCACCCCTGAGAAACTTGGGGTCTTATGGAAAGGGTAGGGGGGCTGTATTTCTTTGCTCCCCTCACCCCTGGGTGACAGCTGACTGCTGGATTGTCAGAGAACTCTCAGCCCTCATGAGTCCAGGCAACACTGTCAGTGTCAATTTGGGAAATTCCAGCAGGCAGAGCTCAGGGCAGCCAGATCAAGCAGTGCACTTGCACGACCCACAAAGCAAACTGAGGCAGCAGGTGCCACACTGTTTGTGCACCCATCATGGGTCACTACCCTGACCAGGGAACTTCAGTTCTCGTGTTGCCACATAACGAGATCCCCCACATACATTCCCCAGAACCATCTTTGATTTGGGCAATCACAGTGGATTGGCAGATCCCTCGGAAACTGTGAGGTCCTTGGTGAACTGCAGGATTCCTGGAGATCTAGCCCCCAGCATGGACCACTCCTAGAGGAAAGGAGAGCACAGCCTGCCAAAGTGTCCCTGGGCCAAAGGAAGCCTGGGCATGGTGGAGATTTTGGAAGGGATGAGTGTTGTTTCACTACAGCAACAGGCAGCACTCTGGTCTCAATGGATGTGAAGAGGAAGTCACTTCCTGCTCCACCCATTCACTGCTATGGACCCAACTGAGGCTTTTCCTGTTTCACCTTGTTAAAAACCTGCTAACAGAAGGGCATACAAGGTTCTATGGTATAACATAAGCTTTCTGAGACCTTGCGTTCCCAGCCCTATAGAAGATAGTGAGTCAGCTCATACATCTACTACATCACTACAACAAGCAGCAGCTGAGAAAGCCATATTTCAAAAGCTATCTATATCCAAGGAAACGAAACAGATCCTTGCACCTCTGAAAGCACCCAGAAACAAAACCAAATGATCATACAAACATACACTAGAGTTACACCTTCAAGAGAGACAAGAATAAAAAATTTAAAGGTCCCATCCAAACAATAGAATTCTCAAAAATAAGAAGAAATATCTTCAGTTGAGAAGGAATCAGGGCAAGAACTGCAGCTATGCAAAAGAGACAGTGTTTCAGCATACCCAAAGGATCTCAATAGCTCCATAGCAATGTATCCTGACCACAAAAAGAAAACTATGAAATTACATATAAAGAATTCAAAATATGAATAGTAAGGAAGCTAAATGAGAGCCAGGAAAAATCTGTAAACCAACTTAAAGAAATCAGAAAAACAGTTCAGGATTTGAAAAAAGGGAGATAGATAATTAAAAAAAAAAACTTCTGAAAATAAAAAAAATTACTGCAGGAATATTAAAACGCAATTGAAAGCTTCAACAATAGACCAGATCAGACAGAAGAGTTTCATATTTTGCATAACTTGAAGACCAGTCTTTCAAATTAACGTAGTGAGGTGAAAAAAATTGAAAAATGAACAAATCCTATTAGAAATATGGGATTATGTAAAGGAATCAAACCTACTACCTATAGGCATTCTTGAGGTAGAAGAACCAAAAGTAAAATTTTGGAAAACATATTTTTGGGAATAATTTGGGAACATTTTCTGATCTTGCTAAAGACATAAGCATGTAGCCAAAGTAAATTTTGAGAACAA